CTTTTGATAAACATTATGAGATGCAATGAATTATTAGTTTGTCTAAAATATTTTAATTTTTCTCCAGGTTGCAAGTGAGGAATTAAAGAACAGTAGACTTTTTCTTAAACTCCTTGAAGCAGTTCTTAAGACAGGAAATAGGATGAATGTCGGTACGAATCGTGGTGATGCTAAATCCTTTAAGCTTGAAACCCTCTTAAAATTAGTAGATATAAAGGGAACGGATGGAAAGACAACATTGCTTCATTTTGTTGTTCAAGAAATTATCAGATCAGAAGGTGGTGCTGATTCAACTAGTGACAACCTTCAACCCCGTTCGCAATCCAAAATCGAGGATGAATTTAGAAAGCAGGGCTTGCAGGTTGTGGCTGGACTGAGCAGAGACCTTAGCAATGTGAAAAAAGCAGCTGGTATGGACTCGGACGTCTTGAGCAGCTATGTCACAAAGCTCGAAATGGGGCTTGAAAAAGTAAGGATGGTTTTGCAATTCGAAAAGCCAGGAATGCATGGAAAGTTCTTCGACTCGATGAAAACATTCTTGAAGGAGGCAGAAGAAGAAATAGTTAGGATCAAGGACGATGAAAGGAAAGCTTTATCTCTGGTGAAAGCGGTCACGGAGTATTTCCATGGCGACGCTGCCAAGGAGGAAGCTCATCCGTTCCGAATCTTTATGATCGTTCGGGATTTCTTAACCATACTAGATCAAGTATGCAAAGAAGTTGGGAGAATGCAGGACGGGGTAATGGTGGGTGCTGCAAGATCCTTTCGGATATCGGCAACAGCCTCCCTCCCAGTCCTCAGCAGGTACAACGTCAAACACGACCGAAGTTCCGACGAGGATAGCTCATCTCCGTAAACTCCCATAACACAAGTACCTCTTAGGAAGCTTGTCAGGTTAGCTTTAATCCTCCAGTGGGGGGAATTTCACTAGTTTCTTAGATCTCAAGCATCTTTCAGACCAAAACAAGAATGGCAAACAGAGAATCTCCTTTGGAGACAATGACGCCCCCAGCAAAGTTTGTCCATTACTCAAAACACAGATTCCTGAAGCGGAATCAAGTTAGATTTTGCAGCAAAAAGGCAACAAAGACATGATCAAAGTGATGAAGAAACACCAAAATCAGCATGGGAAGAAGCACGAAGTAGCAGTGGCAAAACTGAAAGGTACGTCTCAATGAAATGAGATAAATAAAAAGATAGAAAGAGAGGAAATGAATGTTCCACTTAAGAATACACGGCTATAGATAGGACAGAGTACCCTATTTAGATCAGATTCTTACACATTTCCAGAGAAAAAGTAGAATGTTTTTGAGTTGCTGCTAATATGTTGTTGCATTTGTTCAATGTTTCATAATAATAAATATCAATTTTTTTGTTCATTGTTCTTGATTGTTCTTGATTGTTCTTGATGTTCTTGATAAGAAGAATATATTCTGCAGAGTGATATCCTATCCTAAAGGGGTAATCTTAAAGCTTCAGTTGATTGTAGTGGGGGTTGTTTTTAATTGAAAAGAAATGTGTGCCAAATCTAGAAGGACACTCAAATCTATAAATTTCTGTTTTTGGTCAGTCGGAAATCTGGCACGTTCTTCTTTCTGCTTCTCGTAGTTCACAGCTAACAAATCTCTCTCTTTCCTCCATTGCCTCGTGTTATTCTATTTTCATCCAATTTCTTTCATAAAACTAATAGAGGTGCCTGAAAATTTACAGTACAAAGAAATAATTATAAATATGTATGAAAAGAGTAAAACTCAAATGTTTTTTTTTTGTTTTTTGGTCCCTAAATCTATCTTCATTTATTATTAAAATTTTCACAAAATAGGTATTTTTGATCATAGGATTCTCCCATCAGTGTTGCTGGATTTTTAGAGATCTAGTGTGCAATAATTTGAAATTTCACCCGTACTTGAGACACCCAATGTGAGAATCCCACGTTTGACGGGGACACAATCTCACATTGGTGGGAGAGGAGAACAAAATACCGTTTTTAAAGATGTAAAAATCTTTCTCCTAACATACCCGTTTTAGAGCTTGAAAGGGTACACCCATACGCATTTTAAAGCCTGAAAGGAAAAACGTTTCACTAGCCGACGCGTTTTAAAACCTTGAGGAGAAGCTCGAAAAGGAAAGTTTAAAAAGGACGATATTTGCTAGCGTTGTGTAATGAATGAAGAGGTTGTTGAATGTTCATACACTCTAGTTGATCATATTACTCATTTCTCGTTTTTAAAGATTGAAAATTATCCCCACATATTGACACGAGTCTTTCCAGCATATTTTGTACTCACTCAAATGAATTCAAAAAGGAAAATCACCCGACATAAAATTGCTCCAAGTAAAGTAAGATTAACCATAAAGTTCCAACGATTGTGTCACAAAAAATGAAGGTGCACATTATTGGTAAATGCGGTAACTTTTATTTCTTTTTAAGTCTTTCTTAGTCATTCTATTTTGAAAATAATTCTCATTCACATGTGATCTCAGTTCATTCATGTACCTCTAGTGTCACATTCTATTTTTTCATTATTAGGATGATTCCTTCCTTACTAAAAAAGAGTTTTTTTTTTTTTAGGATAAGCTCTATTATACCTATCTTGGTTCAGTATTTAAGGGTATGAGGTTTAAAAAATATAATAATAATAAATTCTAAAAGAAAGGAATCAAAATAATATTTTAACTAACATATAATTAAAAAAAAAAGAAAAAGTAGGGAAAGAATTTTAATTTTTAATGTTTTTTTTTACTAATAGTAAGAAATAATTTTAAAGAAAGAAGAATAAAACTTTTAAATTTTTATTTAAAAAAAATTGAAAAAATGGGAAAAAAGAATAAAAAAATAAAAAGAATAGAAGCAAATTTTAAGAATGTTTTCCTTTTGTCCTTTGGGAAATTTTATTCTTCTTTTTGGGACTCTCAAACCATCCGTCTGGCAAAACAAGCCAAAATGCCTTTTCATTTATTTCTATAAATCCATTTATTTAATTAAAAAAAAAAAACAACAAAATAATATATATATATATATATATTTTTTAATATATAACCACAATTTAATTTGACCAAAAAGGTTTTCTTTAGTATCATTTGACCTAAAAGCTATATAAATATAATTAGAATAACGTCATAAATAAAATGATAATTATAAATTAATCCTTAAAGTTAATTTTATATTATTATTGAATTTATTACAAATCTTAAATCACTATATTTTTTTTTTAATTCAATATGCCAAATGGTTCAACCACTTTTGTTTTTATTTTGATATTTAATTTGGTAGAATATTAAATTAATACAAAAACAGTTTTAATTATAAATAATTTTTTTTAAAAAAAAACTCATGTTAGAATTTGATTTATTTAAAAAAATATTAGTGCACAACCTTCACATGCATATAAAACTTATTTAAATGTAGAAGTCAACATAAATTAAACAAAAATGCTTGAATTAAACCGACAATGAAGTTTAGGTTTGTATATATATATATTAAATCCATTTAAACAAAAAAAAAAAAAAAAAAAAAAAATATACTTCGTCAAGAAACAAAAACTTCATACATAAATAACTCGAGTTTGTAAAACAGACTAAAAGGTTTAAGTTCAAAGTAATTAACTGTATTAATGCGCCGAAGTAAAAAAATTAAAATCGCCTTCCATGTCATCTATTAGCTCCTATTCGTCACATGGTAATCTCTCCTTATCACAACTCTTTCCCTTATTTTTTTTATTTTAAGACTTTGTATTAAAAATTCTCATGATGTAATTCTCTATTAGCGTTAAATATGCATACATACACAACAAAAATATCACTAATTCAACTCCCATGCTCACAAAGGAGCAATTACGAAGTCGAAATCACAAAACATTAGAATAATTTTTATGCACATGGACAAATAACTGTTACAAATTCATATGATTAAGGGGTAATACAATTCACGTGCACACATATAGGAGATTTCCTCCAAAGTCTTATTATAGAGTCGAGTGCAATTTGTACCCACAAATAGATAATTATTACAATTCTCGTTCACATAGATAGGTATCTTAGTGCTAATCCACATGAATAATTATATGAAGTTTCAATACATACATAAGCCATCATTTTCATATGACATTTCCATAATTATTGTATTGTATTATTTTTTATATATGACAACAAATTTTAGTAAAATGTAAATCGTAGGAAAACATAGCGCCGTTGCCGGGGATCGAACCCGGGTCACCCGCGTGACAGGCGGGTATACTCACCACTATACTACAACGACCAACTTATTATTTTATTATAAAATAAATTATTTACATACAATAAAAACCCATTTTTTTCCTTAAATTTATTTTCGCAATGAGAATGAAAATTTCTAGATAACTATTTTTTTTTTTAATTTTCTAAAATTGTATTCATTTTCTGTGCTACAGCTTTCATTTTTTTTTTTTAAATAAGAATTTTAGTTTTTAAAACTTAAACAATAAGATTCGAGGTGAAAATAGTGATTATAAACTTAAATTTTCAAAGCTAAATGCTTATGAAACGAGGATGTTTGTGGGACCCACTGCAAATTTGAGAATGTTTTTTTGTGAAAGAGTAATCTTGTTTCTCTCTTATGAATATTCATCAAATTTTGGATTGGTTGGATAGGTTATCCAAGCAACTAATGAGTTCACAACCATTGGAATTGGTTGTCTGATTATATTTTTATTATTTTTAAAAAAATCATACTTATCTCATACCAATTACATTTATAAAGTTTAAATATCAAATATTTATCGTCTATAATTCATCATTCACCTTAGTTATAAATATTAAATATTTTTAATCTTTCTAAAAGTAGGGTAGGATAAAATTATAACTCTATTTTTAGTTGGTCTATCTCATCGACCAAAATGAATTTTTGGTTTTTCAGAAATTTAACCTAATAAAAGAAAAAAAAAAACTTAACCACGTCATAGACTCGTATGACCTAATATGTTATGATAGGGTTGGGCGAACACGGCCCAAATGAAAACTGCAACCTAGACCGTGGCCTAGGTTGGGTCTGCATTTCAGCGTCTGTGTCTGCTGCGAGGTTCTCCTCTCCTAACCGTCCTACATTTCTGGTGGAGAGGAAAAATAAGGCTTTGGTTCTTTCCTCCGAACCAGAAATCAAGCATGGTCCCTTCGACGCTGTTTCGTGCTTCTACTTGCCTTCTTTTTCTCGCCCTGTTCTTCGCTTTAGCATACTCCATTCCTGACCCTCAACCGCTTCGTCTTGGTGCGTTTATTTTCCACTTCTTGCATTCTTTTTCATGCCGATTGCACTACATTTTGAGCTTTTTTTCTGTTTCTTACTTGCTTAGGATTGTTATACTGTCAATGTGTTCTTTTTTTCCCTCTATTTTGGCTTTGGCAGTGTTCAAGTATACTTGCATTTTTCTGCTCTCCCCCTAGAACAGGGCGTTTATAGATTTTGTTTTTGGGAATGCTATGGATTGGTGCACGGGCAAAGTTTCTTTAGAAATGAATTGCTGATTAAACTGTGATTTCTTTGTTACTTTAGTTTCAATGACACATTCTATGATAGAAATTCAAAATTTAACTTCTTGGTTGAGGAAGATGTCCTCTTGGTTTATGCTTTAACAATTACACGGTACCCATGACTTCAAGATTATTGATGCATATGTACTCAATTATTGGGGCCTGTATCAGGGGGTTTACGAGGGAAGATAGGTTCTTTATCTCTTAGTTTAATTTCATGAATATTGGGAAAGAAGAGTTTCCATTGCCATTATCTAGTCATCTTGTTCAGATAAATTTCATTGGCCCCTTCTGTTACCTTCTTGGATAGAAGTTATAACTTCTTGAAAAGCTTTGAAATTTCCATTTTATGAGTATAAGAAAAATCTTTTATGGTCCATTCATTCCTTGATGGCATATACTGCCTACTCATGTTCCTGGTCTCTTCAGTTGTCTCTGAATCCACAACTCTGCAACTATCTCGTGGCTTGCCTGTGCAAAATTCACCAGGTTCCAAACCTGGAACTGTGGTGGTTTGTGAAAGAGTATACATCCAAGGATTATTGAGGATTAAAAATCTGTGGAAGCTTGCCCACACGGTAAAAGTGAAGCTTTCCATGATAAATTCAAGTGCTCGGATACCGAATTTAGAGGTTTGTTTTCACAGGTGAGTGCATTATAATTTTTTTTTTTTATAATACCAAGTATTGAGGTTTGTTCTCCAGGTTCGTTTTCGGGGGCAAGCCTACAAAAATTTTGATTTTCATGAGTGAAGAACACAAATATACTCTATACTAGATCTGATTAACCTTCAAAATAACATGGCTTTGCAGGAACATGTCTCTTGGTATAGGGATGTGTCCACAAAGTCAGTGGGAGAAAGTTGCCAAGGGTTCTTGGGCTCAATCCATGTCGCCGTTTGACCACAAGCTTATAGATATCAGAACTTCTGGGTTATCCCTGGAAAGTTTTGAGGTATCTATTGAAGAAGGTATGTGCATCTATACTGTGAATTGCAAAAGAAAAACAAAGTGGGAGAAATTCGGTTTCAACCTTATCTGCTTGTGTAAGAAGATTGACTCTAAGCCTCCCCCTCCGTAATGCAGAATTCTTTATGTACCGCATAATTTTTTTAATCCTGGGCTTGGTGTTGATGAGTTCGGCCTCCATTCTTGGCAAGTCATTGGTATTCTATTATGGAAGTGCTATGACAATTGGAGTTCTCCTTGTAGTGTTAATGATCCTTTTTCAGGTAATTAGGTCGTATCTTCTATCTTAACTTAAATGTATATATCATACTTCTTTCGATGTTATTATGTTTCTTATTGAATAAAAAATGGATATGTAATATTTACTACTTTGGATCTTGTAAAAGTGTTCTGTTTCTGGTAACTTGGAAGTTGGTGCTGGCTTTAGGATATTGCTGTGACTTTGAGCATGCCGTTTCTACTTTCTTAGTTGTTGATCTTGGTGACAATATCATGATATTATTCTCTTTATGGTTTTCAATATTGACATTCCAATTATCTAGGTCTAAGCAGTTTGAGTCACTGGTTCAAATTATATGAGGGGAAAAGAGAAAATTGAAGTACAGAGATAAGTTCATGTTAGTTCAAGCTACGAATTCAAATCACCCAGGCCCATAGCCGACTCATGTGAAGCATCCATTTCCCAAAGGACATTTAACCAAAGTTTCCCCTTTCAAATTTCTTTGTACTCCAATTAATCCTTTCATGGTTGAATCTCCTCCACATTTTGCTCGTTGTGTTGACATCCCCCCTCAAGCATAAGCACTCCCCCTAAAAACCAACCAATGGATACTCTCTCCTTAAAAAAGTCTGCCTCTGTGTTGAACTCCATATAGTCTTGGTAAATGATCTCTCTGCCTTCATGATTTTTAGATTTTTGCAACAAAACAATATTAGGATTATCTCCTTCATAATCTTTATGATTTTTATCCATAAAGCCCTAGAAACCTAGTTGCATCTTCTTAAATGCATAAAAACTGGCCTCCCTCATCTCCACTTGAGAATCTTTTCATGATATACATTTGAGGAAAGGTTATTCAACTCCCTGAAGCCTTTTAAGTTCAGCATTGAAGCCTTCTTCCTCACCCTTGGGCCAACCTGTATTGTTCATGGTTTTTGTCTTCATCCTGTAATCTGGCTTACCTCCCTTTTTGGGTACAGATAATGAATGGCCTTTTGTAAGGGCTTGTGGCTCTTTAATAGGCAAATGATATAGAACTGAAGGTGTGAACTTGGATTCATGGTTCATCCCCATTCTATTTATTGCTCTAATCTCTTTTTCCAATGAGATTGTCTATTGCTTGAAAGATATATGGAAATGTGACTATAGCTTGATAGCATTGTGTTCCATAATGTAATACTACTTTTTTCTTGCCTGGTTACTGACAGGGGATGAAGCTTCTTCCTACTGGTCGGAAGAGCTCACTTGCAATTTTTCTATATGCATCTGCAGTGGGTATCAACCTTTTGTCAGTCTCACATATCTTCTTTCTGTGATCATAGAAGTACTGAATGTTCAACTTACAATCCATCTTTCCACAGGTTGGTCTGGGATCTTTTTTCCTCCGTTACATACCTGGATTATTGCATCAAATACTTTTGGAAATGGGTATAAGTGAGGACATGTATAATCCTGTACGTAACTTATCTTTCATCTTTCTTGATAATTTACCTCTCTATTTCAGTCATGAATAAATTTACAGAAGTGTTGACTTTTTATCTTATTCTCTTGTGATGCGTTGGCACCTCATAATCATGTTGGATGGAAAAGACCTCATGTATGTGTGTTTTGGCTAAAATTTGCCTAAATGCTCGCAGTGACTACATACGACCAATTCAAGGTCTCTTACATACTGGACCATGACATTACAACTATTGTTTAAACACGAATATCTATCAATTCATTGATATACCTTTATTTAGCCATTGGTCGATCTGAATCATATCAAGTTGGACACAGACGACACATCCTTACTGCAAAACGTTATCGTGCCTGCATGCATTTTTTTAATTGAAGTAATCTTTCAAAAAATAATCCAAATGGAAAACCTTAACAATAATGTGTTCCACTCTGCTCTTCTTGCTGCCTTCTAGGACATGTATATGTGTATCTTGTACTTCATATTACTTTTATCATTTTTTCCACTTGGTTTATAACTATAGTGGTATTCTTTCTTATAAGTTCATTGAAATGCATTAGTTACCGGGGAATTAAATGCTTCTTAAATTATTGATTACAGGTAGCTACATTTCTACTGGCTTTTATTTTTCTGATTGGAGCATGGTTGGGCTTTTGGGTAGTCCACAAATTTGTCCTTGATGAAGATGGATCAATTGATACTAGCACATCGCTTTTTGTCACATGGTGCATACGGATTTTGGCTGCTCTTCTGATTCTTCAGGTTTTCTCATTGTCATTACTACCTCCGTTGTTGGAAATTATTTATGCATTTGTACTCTTTTGTTAAGTGGGTTTAAAGATGAAGATCACCCAACACGACAATGTGGGAAAACGGAAAATTTAAAGATATTTGATATCTGATGTTGCCTCAAGGACGGGAAGATTTGGAATAAATTAGCTATTATATATGTTGCTTTTCTTTCCCTGATAATAGAGTCTATAACAAGTGAGTCTAATCCAAGTATCTTGAAACTTATGTCAGTGCTTAATATGTATCATATTTTCAAACAATTTTCTGTTGACAAATTTAAATTACTTTCAGTGTTCTTTGGATCCATTGCTGGCAACAGGAGTTTTAATATGTGGAATAATGGCTTCATCAATACTGAGGAGAACTTTTAAGTTGAGATTTCTTCGTCGGCAGTACAAGTTTGTATTCTATCCAAATCTAGAGTACTTTAATATCATACACTTTCCTTTTTTCACTACGGACACATTATTTATTAGACTGATATACAAGCTCAAATGGCAGTTCTTTGTGTTATTAAGAACCATTTCTCTTATTTCAATCGAGTAAGAAAATTGAACTTCTCCAATTCAGAATGTGAGTTATGAACTTATTTAACTACGCAATTCATGGAACTGTTATACTGTGTGGAAATATCTGTTCTTCTAATCTTAAAAATATATAGAAAGTGACAGCAAGTCTACCAATAAGGCATACGTTTCATGTATTTCATATAATGTATCACATTGCGGGTTGTTTTTGTTCAGGAATTTGTTCAAATCGCCAAAGAGAAAACTCAAGCGATCTCATATCTCTGATACGCCACGTTTTGATGATTCTGATGACGAACTCGCCATGAAGTCTCCCCTGAGTTATGAAGACCCCAAGTTTTACGGATCTCAAGACAGAAACTTCGCCCTTCAGTCCTGCAGTCTTTCTGAACGTGGTATGTTAAATGTCTCTAGTAACACTTCTGAACTAATAAAAGACATTCTAGAATAAAAACAGTTTGTTTATGATACCTGATATTGAAATAATGCTACAATGCCCCATCAGTCAGGCAGCAATCTTTTGCCATCTTTCTCGTTCTGGTTTTCTTTTATTAACGAACCTTTCTTCTGTCTGATGCAGATGAATATCCTTCGACATTCCATTCCACACCTGGACGGAGAGAATTTTCTAAGGATGAGTGGAAAAGGTTCACGAAGGACTCAACCGAAAAAGCTTTGGAAGGACTAGTTTCTTCGCCAGATTTCGGCAGGTGGCTCGTTGACAATGCAGATAGAATCAACATAACTCCCCAAAGCAGTAGAAGAGCTGAGAAAGGTCGAAAGTGGCTCCCTTGGTTGTGATTGGTCAAGGTCAAACGCAATGCTAGATTAGGTATGTAAAACATACTGCCTGCATAGTTATCATGACTTTTCTGGGAAGCAATAGGATGTGTTTAGACAAATTGATCACACCCCCTAACTTGTATTTCCTTGTCTGTTAGATCATTATTCATCACCTAGGTTCAGGGTGTCTAAGAGATTTATATGTTCGCCTAGATTTGCATACATTTAGCCATTGAATGGGAAGCATGTGTGGTGTAACTTTATAGCTTTTTTGGGCTGCACCTAACTTCAATTCAGTATTTACTGCACCCATGATTTTCATGGAGGGGTTGTCACTGTATCACTTCGAAATGTAATGTAACTTTATAGCCTATTGGGGCTGATTGGCTTCAATTCAATTGCTATTGTACCATGCTTTTCACGGAGGATTATTATTTCATTCTTGTAACATTAAGATATAGAGCTCAAGGGGGAGGAGCTTAGCTGCAAGTTGCTGTGATTTTACTGCTTATTTGTAGCTTGAAGGCTCTGTCCAGTCTCTCGTTCTGTCAAGAAAGTTTCTTGGTTGTTTGGACAAGTATATCAATAATTATGACCAAGTCAAGCTCAAATGGGTATGAGTCGTGCTTTCTTTTGCTTATTTGCTCAGGCAATGTGCATCTGAGCTATATTACATTATGGCAGATGGTCATATACTAACTTTGTCGGTTGATGAGTCCAATAGTTAGCCTCTGTTTCTTGTGTCTTTGGATGATTGTAATTCAATTCAGGCGCTTATCTTCGTTTGAGCAATGTGACAGTAAATGATTAGAATGTGAAATGAAGGGTCGTCTGAATAGTTACCATCTTGGTAGGTTGAAAAAGCATTTTTGCCTTTGCTAGATAAATTTGTTGGAGGGAGAAAATATATAGTCTACAAAAGAAGAACCTGCACACCGATATGGTGCTTTGTCGGTGCTTGTCACATAAGCTTCAAAGTTTAAGTTAGCTCGGAGAATTTTGAGTATAGTAGAAGTTTTAAGAATGAGGAATAACTTGCTTTCTATAGGTCGAAGATATATACTCAAATAGTCTCGTTAAGATTTTCTTATTCACTTTGCAGATTAGGTTAATTACAAATCAGATCGGATTGAACATGGACTCCACGAGTTGGGCACTGCCCATCCGAGAGAGGGAGTGAAATTGAGCTTTGACCCAATTTATTTCCTCTCTTTGTCAGGTGGTTTTATCCTTCTGTGTTGACCTGAATTCGTCTTGCCTCGATCTTTTTCTTGTAAATTTAGGTATGGTAAAATTGAAGATAAGGAAAATGAACAAACGGAGAAGATCATGGGTTAGGGGCATGTGAGATGTATGCCTCTCAAGCTAAAATATTAGCGTAGGGAGTGGGAATTCGACTTTTGGTCCAATTCCTCTATTCTCTTAGACATATCAAATGATGGGTTGCTTCTCGGCCTGATATCGCTTTATTTCCATTTGAGTTCGATCATCATTGTGCCCATAAGTTCAACCAAGGTGCCGAAGGTCGGGTGCATGCTAAATGATATCCCTTTGATGACGAGAATGGACCTCAACCCTGATCTCTTGTCGAGGTCAAGGTGAGCAATTGGGTTTTGGCATGATCGTATGGTTGGTCTTAGCTCTTGTTAGAACTTTTGGTATTATTTGTATGAAAAATCTTACCCTTCTTATTTTGTTGGTCACAATCTGGTTGGCATCGGATTTCTCGGATGGGTCGAGGAGCTAGTCGACCTCATTCTTTATTATTTTGTCTGGTTTCCTTTTTCAAGCTTTCTTAAAACTAAAATAGTCTAATCATCTATTGGCCAATCTCTTCCTACTAGTATTTGTGGACCTCGACCAACAAACACTAGCTTGTGACATTTGATTTTCTGTTTGTTGTGTTTGACCTGCTTGTAGGTCGTCCCTCCTTTAGATGCAGTTGAAGTGCACTCATCACTGGACAAAGATCGTGTGATTGTACAAGGTTTGTACCTCTACATGAATACTGGGTCAGCCTTAACCAGGGATGGTTGACCTTGACTTGGTTTCAACCTTTGCCTTTTCCTTGGCTACTTCCTATTTGTTGTTAGGGTGTCTTGAAAGGTAGGTGAGTGACCTCATTATTGTAGAGAAGATCCAACTTTTTCTTCCTCACAAACGACGCTAACGTTTATTACCAAAATTCATACAAAAATGTATCTGACTTTTACGTAGCAATAGGGTAGTTTTGTATTTGAGAGTTAAATAATATTTTTAAAAAACGAATAATTTTAATAGCAAAAAGATAATGCATTATATCGAAATCATTAATATTGGGAGGGCAACTTCAAAGGTAAAGAGCATCATAGTTTGGGTGAAGTGATGAAAACACGTAGAGCATAGAATAGGAATATATTTTGATGGAAATTTCCCTGATTCCAAGAAATCTATAACCCAAATTCCAACACCATTCAATTTCTATTCCCATTCACTTTATTCTATTCCCACTATTTCCCCCCAACAATTTAACCTTTCTTCTCAATTTCTCCCCTTCAAATTGAATCAAATTCCTCGCCGGAATCCTCCCCCATTATCATGAGCTACTACGACCACCAACAGCCGCCGGTTGGGGCTCCGCCGCCACAAGGTTAGCCTGACACACCGCCGTTTGTTCAATTATTAATGGGTCCTCTGTTTCAGAGGGTTTTGATTTGGTTGTTCTTCTTGTTGTTGATTGATTGATTAATTCTTGTAGGGTTGCCTCCCAAGGACGCTTACCCTCCGCCTGGGTACCCGGTTCAGGGCTACCCTACAGCTCAAGCGTACCCCCCTCCTCCGCCGCCGCCGGTGTATGCCCCACAGTACGCTCCGACTACTCAGCAGCCTACTCCCAAGGACAAAACTGGTTGCCTTGAAGGATGGTCAGTCACTTCCTCTGTTGTAGTCTGATGGAATTTCGTTAATTAACTACTAATGCTCTGTCTTTACATACTTAACTTCAGAGATTAATTACTACAAAATTAATAATTTAAAATGTGATTAGTATAATTTATTCAATGATTAAAAATAAAGCCTCGACAGAAGAATTATCCAAAATGATGTATTAAAATATATAATAAAATAAAAGTATTATATGATTGTTTTGCAGTTTAGCAGCACTTTGCTGTTGCTGTCTCTTGGATGCTTGCTTCTGATAAAGATGGATGGATGATCTTTAGCACTCAACTTATTATTCTAATTTCATTGCATTGTAGTATCACCATCATCTAATCTTCCTATACTACTAATCCTATGTTTTTTTTTTACCGAAAAATGTTTTTATCATATCGATATTCCGAGAAATGAATACAAAATAGTATTTGTACGGAATTCAAAATACGGATTAATAAGTCACGATGATAAATAAAGAAATAATGAATACATAATAATATTTGGTCTCAAACTCCCACTCCACAATGAATAGTTAAACTATATAGAATTGTAAAAAAATTCCGGCGTCTCTAGACACACAGAGATGGTATGAGAATGTTCGGGAGTTATTCATCTTGATCGAGTTGGGTCGGGTCGGGTCAGCTCAAAAGCTATAACCCCAAAACCCAAAAACCATAACCGATAAGCACCCACAACCTAAGCCCAAGCCCAGAAACCAACCCAACCCAGTCCAGTAACCACCACCCCAAGCAATATAGCTCACCAACCCAGTTCAGCGTGCAGCTTACAACTCGGCTTAGTGCGCGACTTGTATCGAAGCGTGTAGCTCAACTCTGGCTGGCTTGGTCAATGGTTAACTTCCCACTCAATCGGAAGCTTCACGGTCAACGAACAACAGTTTTAAGTCAAATAGGACCGTTTGACTCAAATTTTCATCATTTAAATATGCTAATTTATAGTATTTTGCTCACCCGAAGAATGAGAGTTATTTGAAATTGACTTTTATGAAACTTTTTAAAACATTTTGTATACATTTAATTTTGTGACGATGGTTTATCTGTATGCCTGAGAATCGTGGTAAATATCTGTCTACGTGAATGAGAATTACATAGGACGTGAGACAACTACCCATCTGTGTGCATGAAAATTATTTTAGATATTATGTTAGGGCCTTTGAGTAAATTGCCGACCAGTGTACATAGGAATGATACTACTTCTTCGTAATATGATTTTGTAGTAATCACTAATTTGACTGCATGGAAATTGAACTTGTTTTACCATTTTACTTGTGACAATGGTTTATCTGTGTGCATGAAACTTTATACAATTCACTACCCACTTGATTCAGTGTTGTTTGGTATAATTGTATGCATATCTAATTCGGAGGATTATTTATATTTGAGTTATGAGGCGGTATTCTCTATATATATTTGAGTTCCTAATTATGAAAATCAAGCCAATGGATTAATATGAAGATGATTTCGAGCATAATTTAACTTATTTAGATATAATTTTTTCAATCAATCCCATTTTAAATGTTGAATCTATAAAAGAGTTAAATAAATACGAAAACGAAAAGCTATTTGTAATTTTTAAGAATCTTAAGTATATATGTTATTTGTTAAGATAGAATTGTAATATTGTTGGCGAATATTGTCGTATTTGATGATAAGTATGAAATGTGTTACTCGTTGAATCGATTGAACTATTGAAGTTTTGAAAGGCATCTAATTGTTGAAACAAAAAAGAAAATAAGAGATTGAAAGGAATAACAAAAAATCATTTCTTTTTCAATTAAAGGCAAACCCACATGCTCAATGTATCTGCTACACATACATTTAACTTCTCTAATACGCAATCTTCATTATGAAAATAATAATAATAATAAAAAATAAAATATTAACATATTTTACGCATGCAAATTATTCTAAAAAACTCAAGTCATATATTATATTTCACATTAACATAATTTAACGTGAATTTAGTAGATACCACAAAATATAACAAATTATGAACAAATGACTTGAGAATTTGACAAACTCGAATAATTTTTTTTAAGTTGGGTTGAATTTTTTAAAAATAGAAAATTGGTTTTAGTTTGTACGTTAGTTGAATTTTTTAAAAAATAGAAAATTGGTTTTGGTTGGTATGAAATTGAAAGTTGGTGTTGATTTGTATGTTGACATTTTTAATTGGGGTTGGTTTGTACGTTGACATTCTTTAGTCAAATCAACTAAGATTACTGTGAATATTAAAAATATTTAACGTTTGTAATTGACTTTAGAAATGCGTTTGACTACTAAAAAAAATAGAGAATTGAGATGGGTTGAATTATAAAGTCCGTTCTAACCCACCTGGTTGAAAAGATTTTTCTAAACAATTTTTAGTTCATAGAATTTTTTTTTTTAATATAATGTTCAAACTTCAAAATTATATTTTAAATGCATTTTATTTAATAGTATTTAAAATAAAATCGAAACAAATTGATTTATATTAAAAAAAAATTATAATTATTCGAAAAAGAGGATAGATATAGGTGCAGTCATACATTACGTAAACACGCATCTGGCCATGGATAAAAAGGAATAAAGTTTTGACTTTTGGTCAAACGAAAGCACGTGCAATGCATGATTTAATCTCTTTTTGGGGAGTGGACGGTTGGTCAAACTCGTGCCACAGACAAAACACACCGCCGACGGCTATTGTTTTTTCAAATAAATAGCCTTCTAAGCAACACCAAACGAGCTTCTTACAAAATTCTTTATATATATATATATATATATCTAAATACAACACATGCACCAAACACGCAATTCCCAATTTTAAAACAGGCTTTCAGATCAACTTATCCATGGAACCTCACTCTTACTCTTCTTCTTCTTCTTCCTTTTCCTTTTACTACTCCGAGCCGGACGGAGTTCACAAGGCGTCGTCGAGATCGCCGAAGAAGGCGGTTGCTCCTCCACCTCCGACGCCTCCGAGGGTTTACAAGGTGGAGCCCATCGAGTTTCGGGATGTCGTTCAGAAACTAACTTCACCTCCTGAGTATCTAGATCCTCGTCTTAAAGCCATGCCGGCTCCACACCCAAATCTCTCCCATCCACCGCGCCGCTGAAAGATATTAACACAGCTATTGTTGTTAGTATATTTGTATCATTCGTACGTTTCATATTTTTTTTGATTTCTTTTTTAATTTTAAGGTATAATAAGAAATTTAGTGTTTTTATATATTTATATGTTTGAAAAGGGAGAGGAGATTCAAATGAGATAAATATATTATATAATAATACTGAATTGTGCTTATGTTTTGTTTGTGACTGCTCATGTTTGTGAAGTATTTGAATGGAATAATTAATGTTCTTATTGATTATAGTTAGTTCAACTACTTAGATATATGTATTTTTGGATTAAGTATGTGAGAGAGATATAAATGTAGGGTCCCAAGAAGATAAATATATTTATAAAAAAAAAAAACGACGTTGTCGATCGATTGTGATTTACATTTATTTGATATGATTATGTACTAATGTGAGCACGGTTAGGGATTTGTTAGTTTATTCTACCCTTGACCCATGACTCACTTGGTTGGTATTTTAATAATTATGATATAAAATGATATGATTTTGGTAGCTTATCATTAATAGTAAGATATCGAGATGGAGCCCACATAGTGCTTTTGGTGAATTGTGATATGATATGATGTGATTATGCGGGTAGTTAGAGATTTACTAGCATATCCTCAATCGTGAGCTGTCAAGACGAGCTCACAGAGTAATTTGATTTGAGCTATGAGGTGATATAATTATGCAATCATATGGGGACGGTTAGGGATTTGCTAGCTTATTCTTAACAATGAACTATCAAAATGGCGTCCACATACCATCTAATGATAAAGATGATTGAAAAGAGAAATAATACCCTAGATGTCAAGCATACAAATGATTTGTATGGATAGTAAAGAGCTAACTAAGTTATCCTATATCTGTGAGAAACCTTAATAAGATAGATGAACTTCAGAGAGGTCGACAGTTAGGACCCATGAATGGAATGAACTTCAATGACCCATGTGAGCTCCAATGAGTTTGATGATGAGGAATTATTCCAATCAATTAGATTATGAGAGAAGATGAGCCACTATGATCTAGAGTATGAAAATGATAATCTTCGAAGAGCTAGACTATGAGTAAGGAGGAGCTTAGAGGAGATAAAGTCACTGAAATGAGCTTGGGTAAGTCGATATGACCTAGATACTATAGGAGTCGAGAGCATGTACGAATTGTGAAGCTATAGGAGTCGAGATAGATCTTATGCTATCTTTTATATAAATCTTTGTCGAATTACATCAAAGTTCATTAGACGAAAAATGGATTAGATTGAGATTATAAAAAAATGGGTGATTATAATAAACATTCTTGATAAATGGGGGATTTGACAAACATAGGGATGCTTGATTCCATTGGATGTGAATACAGATAAATTGTATGTAATTAAAGATGTACAACTGGGACATTAAGCTCTTGTGGGCACAGATCAGGCAAGCAGAAGGTGTCCACGTTACTGGGAGGCAACCAAATGGATATACTAAGGTATCTCAACACATCAACACTTGAGGAATATTCCTCTTTGGATACGTTGACTCAGACTATGCAAGGGATTTAGACAAGAAGAGATCTTTTTCAGGTTAACGTTGTATATAATTCCTCTGTCCCTCTTTGCACGTTGGACGTAGGCTATGTTTTAACTACTTAATTTCGATTTTGAGATGTCCCTTTAACCTATGGGCCAACTAGAACTCCTTCAATAATATCCTCTAATGTATCATGTGTCCAAAACAGGTGACGTTGAATTCCTATATCCTAAGTAGACCTCTACTCGTTGAAGCGAATTAATGATTAAAATTTATGTCATAATCGTTCCTACATATGAGACATCATACATCATGTCCAAATTGATGGGTTAATTTCTTTCATTTACATATAATAAAAACTCGTTCAATGCAACTTTATTGATCCAAAGATTCACATCACACCCCACAATTACAAAACCATATGGCTATTGCTCTCGCGGTTAAGCTTCATTGTTTGAAGCTCATTAACCAAAGAGACCAAGTTCATATGAGACGAACCACCACAACTCACAGCTCTCTTTGCTGCCTCTCCCATGTCTCTAGCCCTCCTCCTCATCTCCTCTGCCTCACCGCTCGTACCCATCAATAAAGACACAGCCTTTCCAATATCTTCCCTCGTAACCATCTCTTGTGATCTGTGTTCTCCCAAATTCCACCACTTTCTGAATCCAACTCCGACCCCAATCTTCAGCACATCAATCAGCAACTTCTCGTTGTAAAATTGCTCGGCAGACATTGGCCATGTGATCATTGGCAAGCCTGAGCTTACACCTTCTAGAATTGAGTTCCAACCACAATGAGTCACAAATCCTCCCACACCTTCATGCTCCAAAATCATCAACAGTGGAGCCCAGCCCCTTATTATTAAACCCCTCTTGGTTTTAATCATATTTTCCTCAAACCCTTTTGGTAAACCTGAATTAGTTGCTGCTTCTTTGTTGTTGTCGTCGTCGTCATCGTTTTTTTTCATGACCCAGATGAAATTGTGAGCAGATTCTTCAATGGCGTGTGCGATCTCTGCAATCTGCTGGGGTTTCACACGGATTAAGCTTCCAAACCTAATGTACAAAACTGAATTGGGTTGTTTGGTGTTTAGCCATTGGAGTAAGTTGGTGGTTTCAATGTTGGGGTTTCCTCCCCTAGATTCTTTATCTTCAGCTTCCTTGTTTGCCAACAATGAAACTGGCCCTATGCTCCATGTTTTGAGCCCTATTACCTATAAAAAAGATAACCTTTTTATTGAGGCAGATCTTGAAACCGAGTGCTACGTGAGATTCCACAACGGTCGAAGAGGAGAACGAAATATTCTTTATAAAGGTGTGAAAACCTCTTCTTAGCCGTGCGTTTTAAAAACCTTGAAGGGAAGCTCGAAATGGGAGAGCTCAAAAAGATAATATCGGTTAGTGGTGGGCTTGAGCTGTTATAAATGGCTGGGGCCCTTACGAATGATATCAGAGTCAGACACCAAGCGACGTGCCAATGAGAAGGTTGAGCCCCGAAAGGGGTGGACAAGAGGCAATGTGCCAGCCAAGACACTAAGCCCAGAAAGGGGGTGGACAGGAGGCGGTGTGCCAATAAGGACACTAGGTCCCGAAGGGGGATGGACAAGAGGTGGTTTGCTATGAAGGGGGTGGACAAGAGATGGTGTGCCAGCAAGGACGCTGGCCCTAAAGGAGGGTGGACAAGAGGTGATGTATTAGCAAGGACGCTGGGCCCTGAACGGGGTGGATTGGGGGTCCCACATTGATTAAAGAAGGGAACGAGTGCGAAAGAAGTTTAGCCCCAAAGAGGGTGGACAAGAGGCAGTGTCCGAGTAGTATACTAGGCCTCAAAGGAGGTGAATTAGGGGGTCTCACATCAATGGTAGAAGGAAAAGAATTCCAGCTAGAACACTAAGGTCAAAAAGGGGTAAATTGTGAGATCTCATATTCGTTTGAGAGAAAACTAAAGCATTCTTTATAGAAGTGCGAGAATCTCTTCCTAGTACGTTTTTAAAACTTTGAAGGGAAACTCAAAAGAAAAAGTTTAAAAGGACAATATCAATTAGTGGTGGACGGGAAGAATTACATGTAAGGAGATTACGTTATTGAAGTGTTGTTCATACGGATTTTCCAATGAGCTGTTCATCAACATTCCATAACATCGTGTCTCTGATTCCTTACAGCCACCAAGAAACAGTGAGAATGCATCGGGGTTGGTGATCCAACTTGGCAACTGGGACCTCCTCATCTCTACAAAATCTGGCAACCCCGGAAGTTGGAACTTATCATTGTCGGATTGCACTTCAAGATGAGGCTTCTATTCTAACACATTGCTCACCACAGTAAGCAAACAAACCGGAGCCGTTGAAAGCAAGCCGTGGGATTCCAAGCTCCGCGGCAACCTCTGTCGTCCAAGGGTAAAAGGTGTCGGCAATGATGCAGTCCGGCCGCATGTCGCGGACAAGGCCTTCGATTTGGGGTTGGAGCATGAGAAAGGCCTTCATAACCTTCCAGAATACTGAGGATCTGGCGGTACTCAGATTTTGGATGGCCGGAGACAGACCAACCTGTTAAAAAGAATATAAATAAAATATAAAACCTACTCTTACCTTTACCGTGTTAAGCTTTAGATGACAACGTTAATGCTCAGTTTCTAAACTTAGTTTAGCTAATATTATTGTAACGGCTCGTGCCCAAGGCAAGTTTTTTAGTTTTCTCGCTGGCACTCATTCCTTTCTCTAATCGATGTGGGACCCACTAAATCCACTTCCCTTTGGGGCCAACGTCCTTACTAGCACACTGTCTCGTGCCTACCCTTTCGGGGAACAACTTTCTTACTGGCAAATCACCCGATGTTTGGCTCTAATACCATTTGTAACCGCTCACGTCCACCGCTAGTAGATATTGTTTTCTTTGGACTTTCTCTTTCGGGGTTCCCCTCAAGGTTCTTAAAACACGTCTTATAGGGAAAGGTTTCCACACCCTTGTAAAGGGTATTTCGTTCTCCTCTCCAACCAATGTGAGATATCACAGTTCACCCCCTTCACGACTCAGCGTCCTCGCTGACACTTGTTCCTTTCTCCAATCGATGTAGGAAAACCAAATCCACCCCCTTCGGGGCTCAACGTCTTTACTAACACACCGCCTTGTGTCTACCATTTCGGGGAACAACCTTCTCGCTGGCACATCACCCGGTGTCTGGCTCTGATATCATTTGTAATAACCCAAGCCCACCACTAGTAGATATTGTCCTCTTCGGACTTTCTCTTTCGGGCTTCCCCTCAAGGTTTTTAAAAAGCAGTCTTCTATGAAAAGGTTTTCACACCCTTACAAATGATATTTTGTTCTCCTTCCCAACCAACATAGATATCACTGGACAAATAGTACAACCTCTAGGGCAGGGCATGGAATTGTGTGGATGCGGATATGGCAGCGCATGGAATTGTGTGGATGCGGATATGGCAGCCCGACATGGAGTGGCGGTGGATTTTGCTGTGGAAGAGGGTGGCGTTGGTGACGGTGGTGACAGCAATGTCGAGCTTGGCAAAGAGATGTGTGGATGCGGATATGGCAGCCCGACATGGAGTGGCGGTGGATTTTGCTGTGGAAGAGGGTGGCGTTGGTGACGGTGGTGACAGCAATGTCGAGCTTGGCAAAGAGATGGGCGACCTCGACCATGGGGATCAGATGGTCATGGTTGACAAATGGAAGGAAAATAACGTTGAGTTGATGATTTTCAGGGAGCATGATGATGAGGAGGAAGAGATGGTTAATGAAGTGATTGAAGAACTTAGTCGTTGTTCATTGCAGACTTACATAAATAAAACTAGGATTTTAGGGATTAAAATATGAACAAAATGTTTTGTCGGAGCCCAGTGTCACGTTAATGCTCGTCTAGGGCGTGTTGCCTATGGTTGCATGCCCATGACAAGCCAAATCCTTGTCATGTCTTCTCATTCTAGTGTTTTTACTTTTGTAGTTCTAGGGCGTATGACGCCTCAAAAATATCATGTCTAGGTCTGCCAGACATAAAATGTCTCATAATGTATAATGTACTATAGGGGATATGACTAGTTGTCAACTTCTCCCTACTCAAGATTATATACTGTAAGCCGTTGTTATCTTTTTTTTGCTTGCTTATATAACGTCTCTTTCTAAAATCTCTCTCAGCCCTCGTGTTCTAAAACATTCTTTTAAAATCGAGGCTAGAGGCTCGATCATACGTTGCTTGGCCGTAGGCGACACAAGAACAAATTGGCTTAGCTCACTTGTCGTTGGAAAGTGAGTGCCGCACAATCGCTAGTCCGCTGCCTTCAAAAGTGAGATTGTGTCACCCAGTAGGCGTTGGTCGGACATAACTATATATATATATATATAAATAAATAAACTCTTATCCTTTCGATTTTTTCTCCAGATTCTTATTTACTCAAACTTGTAAATCTACTCTTTAAGAAAATTGTATCGGCTATTCACAACTATTATGAACAAAATGATTTTATGAGAGTTTATGTTTGCATACTATCGAGTGTAATATGTGATGAAAAAATAAGGGTTGTCTTGCATGAGTTATTGCCCTCATACATAATTGTATGTTCACATGCATCAAAATACTTTCCATTTATGAGTATGGATGCATATACTATGAGAGAGAAATGACCATCATGTTTACCATGATGCTATGACGGGTTTTTTAAGGAGTAATTAATAGTTGTTGTTGTTGAATCGTTGTTCCCTCAGGGTGTCCGACAACAGCCCAAAGAGTGCTAGTCCGACCAGCAAGTCCAGGGAGTGTTCGAACCCGCCTGGTGAACTCACTCTCACACGTGTGGGTCGTGTGTAGAGAAGTATTACACATCCAATTTGCCTAGACTGAAAAACCATATGAGAAGACAGTTTTAATGATAGGTCCCATCATTTTGTATATGTTTGCTTTCCCCAATCCCAATAGAGGAGTCACTTGCGAGTATTTTTTATAATACTCAAGCATTGTGCTATTTTTATATTTTAAATAAAGGCAAGACACTTGGTGACATCACATTGAAGACCATGGTGCTTTTGATGCAAACGTTTAAGTTCATGACATCGTTTTATGAATTATTTTAAATGAATGTATCTGCATAAAAAGGTCATGTCGTGTATATGGTAGTAGCTCTATTTTAATAGGAACATAGAGCCATTACACTATTCCATAGCTCTATTTTAGTAGAAAAATAGAGCCATTACACTATTCTTTCCCTCGAGTATATTGTGTTAAACATAGGTACCTATGGTAAAAAGTTTGGTAATTTTTACTACCTATACTTCAATTTTTTTTTTAAAATCTCTATTATTGTATTAAATATCAATTTTAGCTATGGTAAAAGGTTAAGGTAACTTTTAGTATGTATACCTACTTTTTCATTAAAACCCTATTATTCTCCCGCTAGTGTATTAAATATCAATTTTAATTATTAATTTTAGCTATTCTCGTATACCTAATTATTATTATTATTTTTTTATTATTAAAATTCTATTATTCTTCCTTATTATACTTAATCAACCCCCTAAACTTACCGCTAGCATATATTGTTGTCTTTGAATTTTTATTTTAGACTAGATATTATTCTCTTTGAATTTTTTCTTTCAAACTTTCATCGAAGTTTTAAAATACGTTTGGAAACCTTGTAAATAATGTATTGTTCACTTTCCTAGCTGATGTAGGATCTTACAATTTACCCTCTTTAGAGTCCTGCGTCCACGCTAACACTCTCGTTTATCTCTCCAGTCGATGTGGGATCCTCATCAAAGTTGTAAAACGCAACTGTTAGGGAGAGGTTTTCACACTCTTATAAAGAATGTATCGTTCTCCTCCCTAACCGATGTAGGATCTCACAATTTACCCTTTTAGGGCTCCACATCCATGCTAGCACTTGTTATCTCTCTAGTCGATGTGGGATCTCACAATCTACCTCCTTTCGAGACTAACATTCTCGCTAGCACACCGCTCGGTGTCCACCCCACTTCGAAGCTCACATCAGTCATTACAATTAATTATTTTTAAAACCCTCTTTTTATTATCTAGTGTAGTGTGTTAAATATCAATTTTAGTTATTTATCAAAAGTTTGGTAATTTTTACTACGCATGTTTAATTTTTTTTTAAAACCCTATTCTTTTCCCTGCTATTGATGCATGCTTAATTTTTTTTTTTTTTTTTTTTTTTTTTTTTTTTTTTTTTTTTTTTTTTTTTAAA